TACCACCTAATAAATTTTAATTTTTTGTAGGAAATTAATAATGTATGAATTAGAATGTGAAGAAAATTAAAAAGTTGATGAAACTGATAGAATTTTTATCGATATACCTTACACATATAATGATATACCTAACTTGTTAAATTTCTTTAAGACTTAAAGTCAAGTTTTAAATGGCATTTTATATATGCCTTGATATTATACTAGAAATCAATATTATATTTATATATGAACATTGTTAGTATTTACAATACAACATTCTATATATTATAAATATAATATCAATATATATTATATCGATATAATATGAATACAATTTATTGCATTTCGCTATAACTATCGCTGTACTTAAAACCTTTTAAGATATTTATAAAAAAATTTTAGATAAATATTAAAACTAAATCGAAATTGATTAAATCTTTTGCATATTTCAAAATAACATTATATGAGATTGATAATTCTCAAATATCACGTGAAATAATTTTAAATATATAAAATTGCTAGAGAAAAGTAATAAAATCATAGAAGTGTTATTTAATACGAAGCAACACTACTTTTGTTTAATTATTTAAACATTAACGAGAAATAAAATTAACACAAGTATGTAGTAATACAATAATGATACCTCGAATGATACTAATTAAAGTGACGAAAGTCAAACCTCATGCGATCGAAAGAAATTCGAGATCGGTTAAAAAATGAGACGCTGACATTTGTACAAAAAAGCATGGCTGAAACGCTACAGTGCCACACGATACGACACGATGCAAATCTAGAACAAAACGTATGCCGTATACTGATCGCTCTTCTGTATTATCGTTTGAAAAGTATCCTCTGAAAACAAGCTAGTAAACGGCAATATGAAACAGTCCGTGGAAAACCGTGTTACACGTGGCGAAAAGTCACGGGGCACGCCCTGCCACATTCGGTATTATTTATCCCTCATTAGACCCCCATTCGCGGCTGTTAACGGACTTAACGACAGCCGCGGCCGAGAGATGTATAGTTATAATACACCACCAACAGTTCCATGAAAGTTAACAAAGAGGGTTGGGACGGTGGCCGAACAATCGACACAATCAGCAACATCGCCGCCGTCCCTACCGTAACGTGGAAAGTCGGGTCCGCTGAGGAAAAGTGCGAAAAGCTTGGTTTCCGAACTTCGCAATTATCGCGGCAGGGGAGTCCTGCGTCCTGCGGATAGCGGATACGCCAGGAGGAGATATTGGCAGGACGGATCGTTGAAAGGCGCGCGCGTTCGGGGTATCGAGGCCGGTAAAAGCCGAAAAAGAAGAGGCAGGAGACGTAGGTGGAAAGGATATACGCGCGGGGTAAACGGCGGGGGCGTACGAGGATCATAAATTATCGAGATGCAACAATGGGAAGAGGCATCCCGCTTATGTATCTGCGTCGCATCGTATCCCGGCCGCGCGTACACGGCACCCCAAATATTTACACTGCCCGGTGGCAAAACTCGAAAGTAATAGATTCGAGATGACTTTTCATTTAACTAAGCACAAAAGCGGTGGACCATACGCCCCGACAACGCTCGCGCCCACCCGCTGGCTTGTGCGGCCTGCCAGCACAATGTCCTTTCTCCTCGCTCTTTCTCCTCTCTCTCCGTTCTCGCTCTCTCTCGCTCTCTCTCTCTCTCTATCTCTCTCTCTATCTCCCTCTCATCTCGTTCGCGGCCCTTCCACGGACGATTTCCATGGACCATCCGGCGGCATCGCGAAATATCGCTTTGTGGACCACCGTTTGTCAGCCCGACAACCGCTCGGACGGTAATTGTTATTGCGCGCTAATTTCCAGGATGTCGCGAACTTCGAGGGATGAGTCCGCAGGGTGGGTTTATGCGAACGCGTGTCTATCCGCGACGCTTTGCCCACGGTGAATCCGATACTACCACCCGCCCGGCACGCTTTTTCGCCCTATTGTCGCTTAAACGTTAATATTATCACAGAACTATGGGGTAAGTGCACCAGTGGGAATGACAGTTTATCGATAATCAGGGATTGAAATCACTACAATTTTGGTATGTTCAATTTTCGATAAATTGAAATGGAGAAATATGTATGTACAATCGTCAGTTGTCGTTAATAAATATAGTCAGTTGCATGTTGCATCGTCGATATTTGAAATTCACCAAAATTATATCGATTTAAATTGCCGTTGGCAACCACGCACAAAGTTGAATTATTTTGAAATATTCCGGTAATTTATCGATTTTTATCTTGTTATTCGCGCACAGCAGACGGTAGCAATTTTTTTTAATAAAAAGTTTTAGAAAATCGAGAGAAATACTGCCATGCACGAGATCACCTGTCGACTAAAAGCAATGCGTTAAAGCAACTATTTCGATGCGGTCGTAATAGACGGTACGACGAACGACCATCGTTTGGAAATCGGATAAATCTCATATCGTCCAGCGCAAAAAGCATCGAAGCTTTCAATTCCACCGAAGCGATTTCAAGCTAACGAATAAAAATACACGGATCGATGAATTCGTTTCTCTTTGACATCATTTAATCGTAAAAGACTTATCGACTATTTAAATGAATTTTGGTAACATGGCATGTAATATGTAATTATTACGCGGAAGGAATAACTTATCCTAACTTATAATCATAGAGTTAATACGAATCAGAGAGAGAGAGAAGAGAGAGAGAGAGAGAGAGAGAGAGAGAGAGAGAGAGAGAGAGAGAAGTGTGTGAAAGCTACTTGGCTGCTGCATGCAGAAACCTTTCCATCATTTGTTAATAACAAACGCTAAGCACTAAGTGCCAAGTATAATACATTTAACAAAACGCATGAATTTAAAAAGTTAACGCAAAAAAAATATTTATTTGTCAGACGCTGCAGAAACTACTGCATTTATCGCGGCGAAGTGCCGTTCGACACGATTGCATTTAGTGTTATCAAGCCTTTGTAAATTCCTCATGCAGCAAGACTAAATAAACTTATTTATTATCAACTATCAACGAACGATAATGCGTTCATTGTCGAGTTAGCGACATTGGCGAATATTATCCATCCGCAAGCATTGGATCAAAGGATGCCTGCTGCAAAGGACAATGGGTCGCGTACGATCTCTATGGAGTTAGAGTCTTCACAAAAGATACTTTATGAAACCTTCGTACAAAGGGAAACGCTAATTATTAGCGTTCACTAATTTCCCAAATGTCACAGGCTTTTGTCGGTCGACGATGTGAGAAGGCAGAAGGATAGCACGCGGTATAGAGACAACTATTATATCTACGCATCTAATTACAGTTAAAGAGTAATTATTCCACGAATAAGCTGTGAAAAGCTATTGGATATTATACGCTTAATTAAATATACTTCTGTATCGCATTCTATCCTTTTTCTGCAAAAATCGATTTAGATTCAATTAAATATACAGTCTCACTAAATTAGACTCAACTAAAACGTGTAATCCAGCTGTCACATCCCTTTATACCGCTTCTTTTTATAAATCGCGTAGAAACTAAATAACGTTACAAAAATATTACTTCGATAAACATACGTATATTTAAAGCGTGTATTTTTAAATAGGTACAGCGAATATAAATATAGAGACTATCATTTTATGTAATCCAATTATATGTGTCAGTAATGGAAAAAAAATCATAAACTAAACAAAATGTAATATTATTCTCCCATAATATTCTCACGTATAAAAACTATATAAAATATTTAGCATATGTACATGATGTAATAATCATACACACAGAAAAATAATTATTCTACAGCCAAGAAAAGCACTTTACTTATTTTATTTTACTTCTTTCAGTTTTCTTTTAGCCAAGAATATTTTCTTACTAATAGTTTTCAAATATCTTGACACAAGTCAAGAATATTGTTTTGAGTAAATATAATTCTTGCAGTGATTTTATGATATATTTGCGGATTAAGTAAATGATATGCTTGTATATCCGCAAATCTACCATAAAGTCATTGTAAGAATTACACTTAGTTAAAACAATGTTCTTGACTTGTGTCAAGATATTTGAAAACTACTAGTAAGAAAATATTCTTGATTGAGAGAAAACTGACTTAAAAGAAGTACCCTTATAGAAATTTAATACTGTAAGTGATTATTTGGCTAGTAATTAATTACTTTATTTTGAGTATTAAAATTATTTAAAAAAAACAGTACTTTTAACAGTACTCGAAATAAGTAATTAATCACTAGCCAAATAATCACTTACAGTATTAAATTTCTGTAAGGGTAAAATAAAATAAGTAAGTGTTTTTCTTGGCTGTAGAATGATTATTTTTCTGTATATATGTAAAAATATTTTGATTTTATATAAGACAGAGAGATTTTACATTAGTTATACATAATAAATCAAAGCTTTCGCTCCCTTAACTACGTGTTCTCTAAAGTTTCCTAAATGCCTCAGAACAGATTATGACTTCCTGAGAAACGATTACGACTATAACGTGCTTCATCCGCTTTGACTTAAAGACACGTTGGAGAAAAAAGATCGGGATCATGTCTTCTCCAAAGTGGCGCAGACAGCGGAACAGCTGCCCTTGACATTGAACACACTATGTTACGCGTTACGTTTCCGGTCAATAAAAGGAGCGCAGAGGCGCAAGGGCAGCTGTAACTTTTCGAAAAACTCGTCGAACTTGCGGCTTCATGTCGTCATCGATATTTTTTCACGCCCCGAGCAGGCAGCGGGTAGAAATATCGTCGACAACATTCTGATGCTTGCTAGCCCGCGGTATTTTGTCACGATTTTTAACACAGTTGTAACCGCCGATCTGACACTTTGCTATTATATATATATATACATATATACTTGTAGATATGTATATATAATTATATAAACATATATATATATATAATAGTGAAGTGTCAGATCGGCGGTTACAACTGTGTTAAAAATCGTGACAAAATACCGCGGGCAGGATATATATATATATATCCTCTTTATACGGGGCAAATAACATTATTTATTGCAAAGAGGCGTTTACAATGGCAAGTTTCTTACCTTACTTTGTCGACTAATTATTGTTCGGGCTTCGAATTGTCGTCCTGAGCTACAGCGCGAAGCGTGTGTAGCACGAATCCCTACTCGCGGGAGGGAGAGGTGGTGGAAAGCACTCGTAAAACACAGATTTGCACAATTGCCTTTTATTAGCACCTCGAGGGGGAACGACGAATCCTGCACCGCGAATACGGAGATCTTCTAATCCGTCCTTTCTCGCTGCCTAAGATATCGCGTACGGAGATCTTGAGAAAGCCTCGTCCTTGAAGCTTCACGCGGCACGGAAATCTCCGCGACGAGCGGAGATCTTGAACTTGAACGCGTGGCAGAAGAATGGTCGCGAGCGGAGCACGATCGGCAGTTGACGGACCTCTCGAACAATAAGGAACTTAAGAATAATATACCCGCACTTAAATTCAATACGTGTGCGATTAGCTATTCAGGCCGTGCGATACGAGTAGACAGATCGCTGTGAGAACTTGGAGTCGACTATCTTTTCCGCGATATCTTAGGCGAAAGACTTTGGATCGACGACTTTCAGCGACTGCTCGAAAGTGACGACGAATCTCGACTGACTTTCCTGCGAGCGATGTCCTCGCGATGAGTTTTGGAATTTCGTTTTTCAGTAGCGAACACGCAGAGAGAGCTGAATCGGTATTCGCTTTGTTTTGGTAATTCACGTGTCGGAGCCGGCCGCTGCCGTGCTCCAACGAATAGGAGAGCGCGACGCATTTCATCGACGCGTGATTGTATCGATCGACGAAAACGGAGCACGGGCGGAGAAAAGGGGGCGCGTATTGTCGCGTTGAGCACGAAGATCGCGGCCAAGTTCGAAAAATTTCGAACAACTATGTTGGATGATAAATATCGGTAATGTAAACGAGTTCCCAACAGCGTTGACCAACTTCATTGCCGGACAAAGCGAATTTGAACAAAACTAATATTGCAACTTTATTTTTTAATTACATAAAGCCTATTTTAATAAGTAGCGATTTTTAAATTTTGAGAAAACATTGTTTTAGTTCTTTTAACAAAAAATATTCTAAGTGTCAGAGATAATATATCTATTATTAGTATAAATCACTGATTTATAATTAAATATATACATATAAATACACAAATGAGATTAATTAATATACTGAGTATATTGCCTCATTGCGTTTGACAAATTTTACAATAATTTATTTAAAGAGTTTGATGCGTTGTAAAATATCTATCACATAAATTATAGCACTTTTACAGTTTAAATAACAAAAAGCATTTTAAGAGTAATTCAATTAATCTTTTTAAATAACATTAAATAAAAAAGTAGATTGTAGTATTATTATAGAATAAATAAAGAGATTTCTCTCGTTTGAATATGTGTTAGATTATGTACAAAGATAAATTACAATATTGCTCCGAGTACAAAGAATAAATTTGACATTTAGTTTTCAAAATAATTGCAAGTAATCTCGAACACAATTATCATGTTTTAAAATTCAAGTTTAAATTTTTATTTGTCAAATGTTTCTCCTTTTATAACTTCAAATATGATGAGATCTACTTCTCGTTTGAAATCATATTTCACAATAATGATATTTTAATGTATCTATTACACAGCAATTTTCATCGTAATAAATTTCACGAATAATGCAATTTCGAAAATTAATAATCGTGGGAAAATCTTGCTTAAGAAATTATTTACCTGGAAATTATGGGCAATTAAACGTAATAACATAAAACTCAATGTAATGAAATAGTAAACATAAAAATCAATGCAACAAAAGCTGCACTCTCGTCGTATATTCTTGTAACAAAGCTGTTGAGCGTTAATTATTAATCGCTACGGATTACAATTTACCGAACGATTTAATTTAATTATGATTGCATGATCAATTTATCGGCGGTGACCTGTGAGACCTCGATGAAATGAACTCAACGCTCATGAAACGCGAGGAACGTCGCGACGCGACGCGACGCGACGGCGCAATCAACGTGCCGGCGTCTTGGAATCTCATGATCCGTGAGAAAAAGCACTTTCCTCCTCGGACGCTTTTACGACACACGTCTCAGGAAGTTTATCGCTTCATACTTCCACGGAATATCTACAAAACAGATACCAGGGTTTCTCGTACGGTCGCCGCGACATAGGTACTCAACTCGATTCGTTCAACCGACCGACTTCCCACAAGACGCGGTAGGGGAGATACCCTTGCCGCAAGGATCAAATTCCTATGGATGAAGTGTTTGCACAGGACGCCTTTACACCGGTGTGGTCCCGTTGCTAATGGCTCCGCTCGCTAGATCAAAAATATTGGCCATAGCAAATAATGCCTCGCCTGTACCGCTACTGGCGATATATATCGCGAGTATATACCCACCCAAAATATCTTTGAGTGACTTCGAAGTAAAATATATATATATATATATATATCAAAAGTTACCAGATCTTGATTTTAAGTGTGAAACGTAAATTTAATAACTTGATAAACTTGATAAAATTTTCATGACACAATTAATTGTACTCACTCAATATTGTTTCTTTCCAAAGTTCCAAAGTTTTCTTATATCTTTCTTTTCTTAATGAAGTTTACTATACTTTACTACTGCATTTCATCTGAATTTAACAAGGTCTAGTGGTTTACGTGACAATCGTTTAGAACGATGTTAATCATCTATAAATCGATTAAAACTATCATTCGTTCAATTCATAATGAAAAGATGTTTGAGAGAGGATTTGATTTTCTAGAGTGAGCCCTTCTCATCAGGAAGTTGATCGTCTAATTTTTTTCCTCTTAATGGAAATGAAGAAAGTGAAAATTTTCACAGGAATACTTTTTACAACTTCTCGCGCAAAAACGAGAAAATTTAATTAAACGACTTTCTCGTGGGATTCAAAACGATATTCAGGTCAATTATCGACATTATCGGCATGTTCTTTGCTAATTCCATCGAGACCAAAAATTACGAATATACGATCGTGCATATCTGATCCAATGTACCTAATATAGACCCATTACCGCGGGCACAATACATGACATTCGCGTGTAGACGGCGCTCTGTGGATCGTCATCATCGCCGGATATTAATGCGATAACTAATAGTAACAAGATTCAGCCCTGGCTGGTTAATTTCGTACGGCGTACACATACACCAATATACTCCCCGTGTGTATCATGATTCCACGAAGGAGATCCTTGTATATACAGGCCGCAGGTACGACGCATGGCGAACTTTGATCGTCGCGTGACACTATGTGGCGAACCATCGATAGAGAGTCGGGGGCTGGATAATCCCTTTTCAAGCACGGAGCGAAGAGCACTCCACTCCTGCAGGCAGGTCCCTCCCTCGGTCGTCGATTCATCCTCTCGACGTTCTTTCTCGCCTTAGGTCACGAGAGATGCCTCCGATCGCGGCGTGCTGGGCCGTTTTTATTCCCGCCTCGAATTAGATAAACGTCCCGACGAATCCGCTCGCGAAAATGCAATTTTCTAGGTTCTAAATCAGGCGACTCTCCGCAACGCGAAAGTGCGCCGAGTCTCAACGATCGAAAAAAAATGACGAAGCGATCGATAGATTTTCGACGAAGTTAAAAACGCGTTTGGAGTCTGCGGAGAGAAGTTTATTTCGTAAGCCCGCTATAGCTCGTGTGTTGCGGCTAAAATATGCTTCAGCGAGTTTATAATGCACTCTTTGTATTCCGTAAATTTTCATGAACGATTTATTTGATACCGCGCTTTTGTGCGTTTTTTTTTTTTCAAAATGAGATAATATCTTACGCCACCTTTGTTATTTTTTATCTATAGCTGTCCGTCGTATCTCGCCCTATCTCTCGTGAAAAGTATTCTTTCGTGGAATAAACTTTTTAAAATGCAAGAGAATTATGGCTCGTGATATTTTTTACGCGGTACAACAGTAACATGATATTTTTATGATATCACCGACGCGGCATGACGCGCTCTTATAACGGAGTTATATAATACAAGAATAATAGAATAGGTTCTTTGATCGGAAAAAGATACTTTCCCGAAAAAGCTGCGCCGAACGTCACAAATTGCCTCGGGAAAAAACCGGTCGCCGCGCCGCGCCGGTGCCTACCAACCCGTTGCAGCCACTCGCGTGTGCAATGCACACTTTTGTCAGTTTCTCTCAAGTGCCCCCCGGCGAAAGGATCGGATTTTTTCTCGCGCGGATCGAAACGTGCGAGTCGCGGAACGAAGGCGCGCTTTACATCGGCCGCGCGCGTTACATTGTGGCTAACCGCCGCGATACGAAGAAACGGATAATCCCCTTTGTGAGGCACAGAGACTCGGGAATCCACGGAGAGAGAGATGTGCACCTCGAGGCAGGCAGGTGCTCGTCTCCTGGGCGCATCGCGCCCTTTCCACGACCCGTTTCTCGCCTCGAGATACGAGCGGGAGAGGAGGATGCTCTCTCTCCTCCCGGTCGGTGACACTGTTGACCCTCTGCCACATGGCGCTTCGCATATGGCGCACGCTACGTACTCTCCTCTCCCGCTTTATTTTTATACACGCTACGTAGATGAAATTTAGTAACGAGAGAAAAGAAGCCGGGTGCATCTAGCGCGACCCGCACCCGACAGATTGCCGGTTGACTCGCGAGATGCACCTGCATGCACGCGATCAAGCCGGGCGTCTCGGGCGGAGCTGAGTGTTCAAATTTTCACGGGCTCGCTAACACAGAGCAAGAGCATACTCTTAAGTACTCACAGTGGACTCAGGACTCCGATGTCTGGCAATGTAAACTACCTCGGAAGCAGGCGCCGCAATAATTTATTATATTCCACCGCGCGACATGATAATGCGATCGTAGCTCCGAAGTCGTTGCAATAATTATAAAGATTTAACGATTGTAAAATATTCTCCATGGATCCTAGAGAAAATTGTCGCGTTTCGCGACATAACTCCATCTAATATCAAGAATTACTAAACCGATTTCACGTATCAAAATCGTAGAAAACTATCAATGAAAAAATATCATATACTTTTCGATGAAAAGTTAATTTTACATTTATGAATTCTATTTAAGCAACGCAGTAATCATAGTTAGTGCAAATGTCATGTTTATGATAATATCAATGCAATTAATTCAATTGCATAACCATTCTTTTCGATATGTGATAATACATCGTGACGTAAATCGTCATCGCGGCAAATTGTATCGTGGAAGGCTTGGACCAAGACGGACGAGCGAATCGTAAAAGTGATTGCGCGGAGCGTGGCGTGAAACTCGGGGACCCTCCGCGTGGCAATAGACGTAGCCTAATCAGAAAATTGCTGGGAGAACCGAGGGGGGTGAGGGAAACGGACAAGTACCTACTATACCCTCCACTGCTAGAATGCGGGGACATTTAAGTAGATGGAGGGTATAGACCCCTGTCTACTCCATTTGCTTCCAGCCCGGGGGGACCTCACCGCCGATATATATCCCAATATTCTCCGTAACAATGATGAATCACTGCGGAGCACCTCTTGCGCAAGAAGTTGCACACTTCCAATGCGCCCGGTAAGGTCTCTCCATTCTCGGGAATACGGCGGGGGAATACGGCGC